TATGTGTATATATATATATATATATATATATATATATATATATATAATTTTCCCCCCCCCACCCATTGAGAATCACTTTAAAGCACACACTTAAACAGGACTGTTTTATTACCTATATTACTTCTTTATTACCTGTATCACCATTTTCCCCAAAAATGTTGAGAAAGACATCAGCATCTGTCCCACTGCCTTTCACATCAGCTGTGAACACGCTCACAACATATTTATTATCTGCAAAAAATAGCACAATAAAGCATACAACAAACATTTTACAAAAAAACATTTTAGGATGTAATATAGAAGCAAACATTTATTAAACAGGCCAAACATGTTTAAACAAAAGCATGATCCAAGAAATCAGATTTTTTTGGATAATTTTGAAAAATTTGATTTTCCAATATATTTTTTAATATATTTCAAAATATATTTGCTAAAATATATTTATGTAAATATATACATTTTCTATCAATAAATTCTTGGCCATTTTCTGAAAATATATTTTAAAAATATAAAAATATTGCTATTTTGGTATATGAAGGTTGAAACTAAATTAATTTTCCATTTCAAAAATATGTATTTCATTGAGCTTACAAAATATATTTAGCATATATTTATAATATACAAAATATAATTTTTGCATGTTTTAAAGGAAAATTATTGCATTTAGCCATTACTTGCAGTGTTTGATCAACAGGCTCATACAGAAAAACAAACAGCTTCACTTACTGTACGACATTCTCATATGTGACCCTGGAGCACAAAACCAGTCATAAGGGTCAATTTTTCAAAATTGAGATTTATGCATCATCTGAAAGATGAATAAATAAGCTTTCCATTGATGTATGGTTTTTTTATATATTTACGGTAGGAAATTTACAAAATATCTTCATGGAACATGATCTTTACTTAATATCCTAATGATTTTTGGCATAAAAGACAAATCTATAAGTTTGACCCATACAATGTATTGTTGGCTATTGCTACAAATATACCCCAGCGACTTAAGACTGCTTTTGTGCTCCAGGGACACACATTGATATGCATGGATTAAATTAGCACAGACTCTTTGGACTAGATGCCATCATGAAATTGACACTTAACTTGACATGACTCAAGGAATCAGAGGAAAAAGGGCAGAGACAGAGACAATTTTTCTCCATAGTCCAGCACTCTTAAAGGTGATATATGAGATAAAGCCTCACATTTGGGCATGTCCATGGGGTCCAGACTACCCAGCAGGTCTCGGACGAACAGGCTGTCCCCTTCGGTTCTGCTCAGCCAGTTGTTGCAGGCGAAGTAGAAGCGTAAATGCGGTCTGTTCATGTCGGTGACCACGACCCGGTCCAGAAACCAGCTGGCGTTCAGACCTGTGTTATCATGTTCAATCCTGACAAAAACACACCACACTACTAGTTTAAAGTTACAACTACTCATTCTTTAACTATTATTTCACACCCTCCAAAATAATTATAAAACTGAACAATAATACTGTACTTTTAGTTTTGAACAGAAATTCATACAGTAGCTACAATTTATATTTATCTACAAGACCGAAGGCTTTAAATCAAAAAGTTTTTAAGATCATGAGAAAATAAACAAACTTTGAATCTGTAGTGTGCATTTAATCATTGATTTTAGTCATATTAATATGTTTACAGTATATTATTAAATATTGCTAGTAAATCTGACAAACAATTAGAAAGTATCAAATAGAACTAAACATGAAATTCTGCAGCAGAAAAACTGAAATAGTATTTTCTTGTAAAATATACTCCAATAATTTGTTTTATTTACTGCTTTTAATTTTTTTTTCATTGTAGTAAAATAATATATTTGACTAATATTTAGTAAACTGAATTTATAATTGAAAATAAATATATACATTTTACGACTAGAGTAATATATTAGTAAAATATATTATTTTACTAATATTTATTTATTTTCACATACTGTACATTATTGTTTCTCCTCTATGCCCCACCTTTCTGAAACGCATCGATTTTCTAATATTTATTTATTTTCAGTAATCAAAGTTAAATTGGTCAACTTACCTAATTTTTTTCAAAGGGCCGACATTGTGTGTTTTTATCCGGAAGACATCAGTTTTGTTTTTTTCAAAAGCAGTTCGATTTCTGCAATAAATATCAATGCAAACAGAACCGTACTTAATTTCCGCAAACACAGGATCATCTAACCTGATTCAAAAGTTGAAGACAAAATCAAACCCTCAATCCCTTTAAACAATCACAATAATCAGTCTGTATATTAATGTGAGGTGTAAATGCAATGCAATGGTGTCTCAATGACAGATCCATCGTGATCTTTAAGCACAATGACTTACAGTACAAACCTTGGAGAATAAATGCAAGTTATATGCACAATGGCTGTGTATTGCATCTCTGTTGCTTAAATGCACTCAGTGTACAATTACGGTTATTGTGTCTTGAGAAAGAAATTAAAGTATACCCTTAGTAAACTTCAAAAGAGTCATGACACATTTCAGAAAATACATGATATCTAGCAGCCAATATATCATGCATTTGCTGACAAACACACATATTCTGTAAATGAGCTTTATGCAGATGATATAGTCTGAATGATGTGTGTCTGGAAACAGAATAGTAAAGCGCTGCAGTATTTTCTCTCTACAGCACAATGCTATACATTTCCACAGGATTCACACCAGTTCATCATAGTGATGTACAGCACATGCATATTGTAGCCTTTCATTATGAAGAGCAATAAACCTCGCTGAATCAGATTTTGCCATCATGCAAATGAAATATTGCTCCTTGATGAAAGGTTCTAGAATATCATGTGCGCATGTAAACGTCACAACAGCGGCGAGATCTGGATTCCCCTCAATCAGAGAGGAACAGACTCAAATACCTCTTGTCTGTGCTGTGGATTCGGGGGAAAGACAGAACGATGGTGTTAAATATCATCAGTAGAAAAAACATTCATGCACAACTGTAAACAACGAGACGTGCAGCAACCAGGCCGAACAGGCAATTCATTTATTATTTACACAGATGATTATGAGTCAAGTTTCAGGTCAGCAGAGCTTCATACGGACTCACTTGCTGGCCAGATGCAGTTTGGGAGTGATGCCATATTCGCCGAAGAGCGTGATGAAGATGTTGGCATCCGTTCCGGCTCCGTTGACATCTCCGGTGATGGTCACCACCTCATAGACTGAGAGAAAAACATGCTTGATTTGAAGGAACACAGAATACATGAGATCCGGTGCATTATTAATGAAGAGATTCCGTAGCAGAAGAGCCTGAAACATCCTGCTGAACAATGACTAAGCTCAGGAAAAACTCATCATGACATGATACAGTCAAGATAATCGACACCGAAATCAGAAAACAGATAATTAAAGCCCATTCACACCAAGAACGATAACTATAATGATAACCCAGCAAACAGGGAATGTTCTCAGAACGTTCTGGCAAGGTTATGAGCAAACATTCTTCCAGTAACGTTAATAAAACATTTTTTTCAAAGTTATAATAACTATTTATACATAATGTGTGGAACATTTTTCTGAAACATTTTAGTTCGTCTAACATTTTTTAAATGTTACTACTTGTTTGAGAACATTCAAAAGTAACATTTCCGTAATGTTTGCAAAATTATAAAATGGAATGTTCCAGTAACATTTGTATATAACAAAGAAAAAACGTTTTTTTAAACATTTTGAACATTCAGCGAACATTAAAAAAATTATGTTTTCATAACTCACTGATAACGTTAGCAAAACGTTCTTAGAACATTTTTCTGTTAACTGGGAATTTGAATCAGTCTAATGGCTACAGTGTAAACAGTAGGGTCTGAATGACTCATGAATGAATGACTCTCTAACTGATTCCTTGTAATGAATCAATCAAAAAGATTCTCAAAGACTCTCAAACTCACAATTTGAATCGGTCTAATGACTACAGTACAGTGTGAACAGTGGAGTCTGATTCATGAACAAATGACTCTCTAAACAATTCCTTGTAATGAATCAGTCAAAAAGACTCACAAATGGCCTAAAACTCACAATTTGAATCAGTCTAATAACTACAGGGTGAACAGTGGAGTCTGACTCATAAATGAACGAATCTGTAAATTATTTCTTCTAATGAATCAGGCAGTCAAAAAGACTCACAAATGGCCTAAAACTCACAATTTGAATCAGTCTAATAACTACAAGGTGAACAGTGGAGTCTGACTCATAAATGAACGAACCTGTAAATGATTTCTTGTAATGAATCAGTCAAAAAGACTCATAAACAGCCTTAAACTCACAATTTGAATCAGTCTAATAACTACAGGGTGAACAGTGGAGTCTGACTCATATATGAACGAATCTGTAAATTATTTCTTGTAATGAATCAGTCAAAAAGATTTACAAACCGCCTCAAACTCACAATTTGAATCAGTCTAATAACTACAGGGTGAACAGTGGAGTCTGACTCATAAATGAACGAATCTGTAAATGATTTCTTGTAATGAATCAGTAAAAAAAGACTCGCAATTTGAATTGGTCTTATAACTACACACTCTTAAAAATAAAGGTCGCAAAAGGGTGTTTTCCAATGCTATCTCACGGTGAGGTGACGAATTCGTACGACCTCACTCGTATGATTTTGTACGATTTTTCTAGACCCCAGAGACGGGTAGGTTTAGGGGCAGGGTTAGGTGTAGGTCATTCGTACAAATTCATACGAATTGTGCAACTCGTAAAATACATACGATTTAGCAAAAATCGTATGAATTTTTACAAGTGAGGTGATAAGAATTTGTATGAATTACAAACCTCGTAAAATATGTACGAATTGCCGTGAGATAGGGCTCTATTTTCACAGTGATTCCTTGGAAGAACCATTTTTGGATCCCCAAAGAACCTTTAAGTGATCAGTTCTTAAAAGAACCATTTTTTCTTAGTATGAAGAACATTTGATTCATCTAAAGAACTTTTTTTTTCACTATAAAGAACCTTTAGTGTTTTCATGTATGTTAAAGGTTCTTCATGAAACCATCAATGCCAATAAAGACGCTTTATTTGTAAGAGTGTTTAATAATGTTTGAGTTGCTCTACCTTTTTTCTTGTGGTACTCATCTTCATAGTTCTCCACTTTCTCAGGCTCGTAGTTTCTCAGCTCGTTCTCATAAATCTCCACATAATCAACGTTTTTGGACTTCTTCTTCTTGCCCTTTCCCTTCTTGCCCTCGTCATCGCTATCATCGGCTCCTTTCTTGGACTTCTTCTTCTTCTTCTTCTGGGAGTCGTCATCCTCCTCCTCTGATTCTTCTTTCTCGGCTTTCTTCTTCTTCTTCCCCTCATCCTTGGACTTCTTGTCTTTGGATCCCATGATGCTCTCCGCAGGGTTTTGATTCTTCTTTGTGCTCTTTTTGCTCACTTGAACGACATCTGGAAGGTTCTGGTGTTCATCTTCACTACTCTTCACCTCCTCATCCTCCTGCCTTGAGGTCGTCTTCTTCTTCTTCTTCTTCTTCTTCTTCTTCACCTCGGATGCATCGCTGAGCGATTCTGTGTCCTCAGCGTGTTTGTGTTTCTTCTTTGTGGCACAATCTGGAGCGCTGATCTTACCTTTCCTTCTCAACTTTGATTTCTTCTCCTTTCCGTCATCGTCCTCCTCTTCGGTTTCCTGTGACTGCCGTGTTTTTTTCTCCTTTGAGGGCATCTTTAATTTATTTACTACAGTGTAACTTTAACTGTTGACTGTGAGTGACCAGGTGAAAGACGACGATGCTGACCTGTGATGCTGGCCGGACCTGCCAGGAAGAGCCGGGCCACGGGTGAAGTGCAGGAGCCGCAGGGCTTCCCTTCCTGATGACAGCCGCCTCATTAATAAAAAATAATACATTTGAGTTAGTTCCCACATTTTTCTGTTTAGTTAACTGAATTACTGAAGAGCTGAAAATAACTAATCTAAAACTAAATAAAAAATTATAAAAACCAAATATAATAAAAAAAGAAAATGTATGTATGTATGTATGTGTGTGTGTGTATATATATATATATATATATATATATATAAATTATGTTAATTGAAATAAAAAATATAAAATAAAACTATAAAAACATTTTAAGTTAATTGTCAAAGCAACATTTCAAATTTCTATAAAGTTGAATTACTAAAATAACTGTATTTTTAACATAACTAAACTAAAATTGAAATAAAATAAAAATCAAAGAGACGTATTAAATAAACAGAAAAAAACACACAAAAATACTAAAACTTAATCTAAAATTAAAATGAAACAGAAAATAGAAAAAAATACATATAAAACAAATCTATTTAACAAATATGAAAATTAAAATATTAATAAATACCATAATACTATATTAATTATACTAAAATAACCCTAAAGCTCAGACACTTAAAATAAAAATATA